GTGGCTTATAGGATTTCCTGCTCAGCGACCAAATGATCCAGATGAACCGAGCTGCTCTGCAGGATGCTGACTGTCAAGCTTCATTCAGCTGGATTTCAAAGAATTTCCAAAAGATGGAAAAAGCATCCCAAAGCACAGTTCCACCAACTGTCTTTACGTTCAGCAGAGCGGCTCTGTGGCTTATCTGCAGAGGATGAAGGTCTAAAGGTTTGATTGAACGTCACTGCAGCTGATGCAGAAAATGTTCGTTGCTACAAGAGCAGCAAGTCGTTTGCATGTAAAAGCTGAAACACGCAAACTTTCAGTAAAAGTTAATCTGACACGGACGGGAAAATGTTCAGCTCGTAGTTCATCCCTCCATAACCACTTATGTTAACTAGCAGCCCAACACAGAGTTAACTAGATGATATGAACTTAGACCAACGATTAAAAGTCAGCGTTCTCCATCCATTTGTGTGCCTGTGTTCATAGATGTTCCAGTTCAAAATACGGAACAATGCTGATGTTTTTAGGGTCTGAGCACACCAGTGCAATGACAGTATTGGAACCCTTGTGATTATTCTAATTATTATTATTGTTATTATTATTCTGATTATTATTATTATTTGGCACAATCTTTGAACGCATTTTTGAGGGCCTAAACGTGCTCAAAAACTCACCAAAATCGCCACACACATCAGGACTGGTGAAAATCGTAAACTGTCAGAGACGTGGACATGTCACTGCCACAATGGCTCCACAGCGCCACCTTGAAAATTTCAACGGAGTCCCATCGGATGCACATTTGACCTACAGCTACGCAATTTGGTAGCAGGTCAAGACGAACAAAAAGTCTCTTTGCTCCAAGCTCTAAAATGCAACACGGCTCAACTGCGCCTCCTACAATATTTCAGCAGAGTCCCATCGGGGCTACGTTTCACCTACAACTACGACATTCGCCACACATGTGTAACAACTTGTGACGCACAAAAAAGTCCATTAGCATGTTTCTGTAAACCCAACAGGAAATCCGCCATGTTGCAACAACAGCAAGCATGCCGGGCCATTTTCGCTCAAAAATGGCCATTTTTGGCCATTTTCAAAATCAAACTCCTCCTAGGAGGGTTCGTCGTACACACCTGACATTTGGCGTGATGATTAAAAGTTTTCAAAACGCTCCGCAGATGAGGCCCGGTTTGGAAATGGCGGCCCGTGCAGTTTCGCTCGATGGCCATTTTGTCCATTTTCGCAGTGTTTCTGGCATTTAACGGAGTCGTGTCGGAAGGCTGTTTCACCTACAGCTACAGGAGTCAGTGGGCATGTGTAGCAGGTCAGGACGCACAAAACAGTCAATTGGTGCCAAGGCCTAAACCCAACAGGAAGTCCGCCATTTTGAATAAAACACAGTGACAATTTTGTCGATTTTGTCTGACTTTTGGGCGTTTTTGCCCATTTTCAACCGCTGTCATGTAGATTCAGTCTCTACAAAGCAGGACGAGCAAACTGGCAAACAGATGCCCCGTCATGGAATCACCTGGTCTTATGATTTCAGCTCAGATGACTCAGTGGTTCAGATAAATTCCAGGCAACACCCAGTGAAGTCTGTGTTTGTGCCTGACAACTCTTGTTTTAACAAACTGCTCTCTGCTCTGACTTTAGCTGCTCAGATAAGTATTTACTCACATAATGATCAGAGAACATGTTCACGTCATGCTTCAGTGTTTTATTTGAAGTCAGATTGTCGTTGTGTCCGTCGTCATGTGTTGTTGCAAAGAAAACAGATTGAAATCAATTAAACCCATAATCAAACATGTCGTTTGAGAAATGTTTGGTGTCTCAACAGCCGACGGGTCAAACACGTCACTGCACGGTGCAGACGAGTGTTGCGCTAGAAGCTGCTAATGCAACCGCTTTGATTTGGACTAATTCTCTGAATCCATCTTAATGTGTTGCCTGAGGGGTTGTTCAAAAGCAAAGCAGGTCGCGTCTGTCTGCACTTTTGTTTGATATTTTAAACTGAACGTCTCCATTTTTGCTCTGAGTTTATGAATTGAGTCACATTCCTGGAGGTCATGACAAGAGGAAAAGTTTGAAGTGTGAACTACAGAACAAGTTCTGCTTCTATTAAAAACACGTGAACTCCCCTGAAAACATGGTCTATGAATTATTTGGGGAACTCTCTGAAATGCTGACAGCAGGCTGTTTTTTCTCATGCGTTCGTATTTATCTGTATTTTCATGGTTATGGATCATGTGTAGAATCAGGCTGGTGCTGATTCATGTCTGAGGATGATTCATGGCTGTCCACATGCAGGCCTCTTGAGTGGAGAGGTAGACGTGAATGACACACCGTTTGGTTTTTCTAGTCCA